GGCCCTCATATGTGTCCCTATCATGTGTTGGGCGCTGGGTTCATGGGACAGAATAAGGGTTGGGGCCTGCCTTTGGAAGGCTCACAGGCCAGAATTCCCTTCTAGTTGTATTATTTCTAGCTGGCTGGCCTCTGGCAAGGCAGGGGAGGGTCTCTGGTCCTGCTCCATCTCAAGGGGGTCCTGTGGCAACAGGTGGGGTCAGAGAAGCAGAAGGAGCCCTTTGTGTTTGCCTCCGTGCGGATCCTGGGTGCCTGGCTGGCTGAGGAGACCTCATCCTTGCGTAAGGAGGTGTGCCAGCTGCTGCCCTTCCTCGTCCGCTATGCCAAGACCCTCTACGAGGAGGCCGAGGAGGCCAATGACCTTACCCAGCAGGTGGCCAACCTGGCCATCTCCCCCACCACCCCAGGGCCCACCTGGCCAGGAGACGCTCTCCGGTGAGTCAGTAGTTATAGTCTGTCCAGCTAGATCATTCTACAGAAAAGTATAACACAAGGACATCCCCCCTACAAACTGGGCTGTGCCAGGCTTCCTGATTGGGCCATGAGATTTCCTTTAGGGTTATTTCTGTTTGTTTTGGGGGGCTTGTTCCCACAGGACTCCTCGGCTGCCAAGTGTCACTTGCCAACCCCAGATTTCTCAGTTAAAAGCGAACTTAGACTTATTGAGCACCTACTACGAGCCAGGTATTTTGCTCTATCCTTTACCAAAACGATCTCATTTGGTCCACGTGGTAAATCTAACATAAGTCTCGTTCACATATGAAAGATGAGGAAACTGAGGCTCATAGAGATTAAAGTTACTTGCCCATAGTCACACCTTGTGGCAGAGCCCAAGTTTGGTCCTGGGTTGTGTGACTCTGAAGCTTGTACTTTTTCTGTAGTACCTGTGAGGATGTGTCCTTCTCCCCTACTTCCATTTTTCTGAGGCAAAGTGCCCTAAAAACAGAATCTATGTGCCTTCATCTCTCCCAACCCTACACGTATCTGTCCCTTCCACATCCCCAGGCTCCTCCTGCCCGGCTGGTGCCACCTGACCGTGGAAGATGGGCCCCGGGAGATACTGATCAAGGAAGGGGCCCCCTCGCTTCTGTGCAAGTATTTCCTGCAGCAGTGGGAGCTCACATCCCCTGGCCACGACACCTCGGTGCTGCCCGACAGCGTGGAGATTGGCCTGCAGACCTGCTGCCACATCTTCCTCAACCTCGTGGTCACCGCACCGGGGCTGATCAAGTGAGGGGCTCGGGAGAGGTGGTGGGGGAGGAGGCTGGAGGAGGCAAAGGGGTCTGCCCAGTTGCCTCAATTCCCAGTCTCCTACTTTGCCCTTCGTGTCTATGGATTTCTGTTAGTGGTAGCATGGGGGTCTCAGAGTAGATACAACCAGCTCCACATGAGGATTTGGCATATCTGGAACCCCCAGGTACTATCTCGGCATGTCTACCTGCTCCAATCTCTGCCCCCCAGTTGCTGTGTTTGGGGCCCAAAGTTAATTCTTCACCCTGCTGCCTAATTTCTTGCCGGGGCTTGATTTGGCTCTGCTAGACCCCCACCTACCTTCATCCTTCCTCTCTTTCTTCTCCAGGCGTGACGCCTGCTTCACATCTCTTATGAACACCCTGATGACGTCGCTACCCGCACTAGTGCAGCAACAGGGAAGGCTGCTTCTGGCTGCTAACGTGGCCACCCTGGGCCTCCTCATGGCCCGGCTCCTTAGCACTTCTCCAGGTAAGACCTGGGCACCCAGTCCTAATGGGTGAGGGCAGAACACCTGGGTGGACCTCCTGTGTTTGGGGCAAAAGTCACCATTTCCAGAAGATGGTTTTGCAGAATTTTCTAATCAAGAGGAAATCTTTGCAGTGTATCTCCATCCCCCACCCCCACCTTTCTTCCCAAAATGCTAACATTCTCTTTCTTCTAAAGACTTTTAAGGCAAGCTCTGGTGGGTGTTAAGCACAGGCCTGCTCACAGGCACAGGCATAGGCACCTGGAATCCCTGGCAGCCTCAGGAATCTGAATCCAGTGTTTTCAAGGTGGAGCCGCCCCCACCCAGGCCTTGAGTCAGAAACCTGACTTCCTTCCATTGATGTTTTTCTCTGCTCTGCTCGGCACCTCACCCCCGTCAGTGACAGGCTTCAGCACTTGGTGTCCCTTTATGCACACCTTCTCCCTAGCTCTGCCTCACTCTGGCTGTTTGCAGGGGAAGGGACTTCCCCTCCAACCCCTCCAGCCCCGGCAGCCCTGTGTGTCTCCCACTTTGGCCGTGGGTGTCTGCTTGGGTCCCTCTGTCCCTGCCTGTTCCCTGTGCCCCATCTGTCAGGTTGTAGGAGCTGAGCAGATGCCTGGGAACAGGGCGTAACATACCCGTACCCTCCACTGCCTCTGTGTTCCTTGTGTGGGGATCCCAGCGGGGTACCCAGCCATAGGAAGGGGCACACGTCCCTGTGCACCAGGAGCCCACTCTGCACTCAGTCCCGGGCTGCATCTCCACAGCCCCCAGTGTCATGGTCCCAGTTCTGGCTCACCCACAAATACCACCAGGTTAGGCTGACAGCCTCCTGGAGAGCACCTGCAGTATGAGGGTCACCCGCTGTGCGGCTGGTATGCAAAGCCGGGTCACTTGCTCATGTTCCTCTCTGGCGCCCTCTTCTGGCCCAAGGATCAAACTGGTGCAGCCCCCTTGGCCTGTTTTGGAGCTGTGTGTGCAGAACCCTGAGGGGCTCTCTCTCACATCTGACTCTGGCTCACCCCTACTTCCTGTGCCAGTAGAGGTCTTGGTGCTTGAGTCTACCAAGATGATCACATTTAATTCTCACAACAAATTTCTAAGATGAGCGTTATTGGCCCCATTTTACGAGTGGAGAAACAGACCCAGAAAGGTTAATTACCTAAGGTCACACAGTGAGCATTAGAGGTAGGGTTTGAACACAGGCAGTATGATTCCAGGCTGTGCCCTGGCTCCTGCATGTGTCCACACAGAGGGCTAGGGAAGAGTCAAGCACAGCAGCTGGCCCGTCTGGTTCATGCCCCGCTCCCTCCATTCCTTACAGCTCTTCAGGGAACACCAGCATCTCGAGGGTTCTTCGCAGCTGCCATCCTCTTCCTATCGCAATCCCACGTGGCACGGGCCACCCCAGGCTCAGACCAGGCAGTGCTAGCCCTGTCCCCTGAGTACGAGGGCATCTGGGCCGACCTGCAGGAGCTCTGGTTCCTGGGCATGCAGGCCTTCACTGGCTGTGTGCCGCTGCTGCCCTGGCTGGCCCCTGCCGCCCTGCGTTCCCGCTGGCCACAGGAGCTGCTCCAGCTGCTAGGCAGCGTCAGCCCCAACTCTGTCAAGCCCGAGATGGTGGCCGCCTATCAGGGTGTCCTGGTAGAGTTGGCGCGGGCCAATCGGCTGTGCCGGGAGGCCATGAGGCTGCAGGCGGGCGAGGAGACGGCCAGCCACTACCGCATGGCTGCCTTGGAGCAGTGCCTGTCAGAGCCCTGAGGGGTGTCCACCGGGGACAGACCCGGGGGCGGGCAGCGAGGGAAGGAGGGAGGAGGCATCTTCCCTGAAGCCCCCAAACTGGAACCCCCCTCCCCAGACTTCCCCCCCAAAACACCCCAGCTTTCTGGCTTTTCTGAGGGCAAGGGCATGGTGCCCACCCCTCAAGTGTAAGGAACTGCGTCTCAGGCCCCCACGGGGCAGGGATTGGCTTGGAAATCAACGTGGTTGTCCCCGCCAGGCCGGGGAAGGTTGGAGCAGCCCCCAGGGAGGGGGGCACTAGGTATCATTGTGCCCGATGTCTGGCTCCCCCGCAGGAGGGAGGCTCCAAGGTAGGACAGGGCTGGCAGGAGCAGACTGCCTCAGCCCATGTGCCCTGCCGGCCAGGGCGTGAGCTCCCCTTGGCTGTGGTGCCTCCTCTGGCCCCCCAGGTCCACGTCCTTTAAAATTGGCCCTTTGGCTCTTGCCCTTGGCTTCCTCGGGAAGAGAGCAGGCTTAGGCCATTGACATCGCAGTTCTTCCTATCAACTTCAGTGACCCAGGGTCTGAACTGCCCCCATCCTAGGGCGACCTGGGGCAGACAGGCCTAGTGGGGGGTGGGGAAACCTCCTTCCACCTGAGCTTGCTTGAAGGGATCCAGAAGTCCCAGGGCTCAGATCTTTGAACCTTTGTGTCATGTTGCAGCAGAGTGGCGATGGGGGTTAGGGGGTTATTTATTTTGCCTGTCCTTATCCCTGCTTGGACACCTGAGCATCTGATTCCTGTCCCCCTGGTGCCATCTGGCCTGGCTGGAGCCAGGAACAGGAGGGACACTTCCCCAGAATCCGCATGTTTCCCCAGTGATTGCACCCCACTGCCATCGTGGTGCCTGGCTTTAACTCCCATCCTTGCTATGACTCCTCTCTGCAGAGAGACGCGACTGGCGGCTCCAGCAGGGACTACCTTTCTTATGAACCCAGGGGGACCCCCATACACACACACCTCATCCCTTGCTTCCCTGCCCCCTGCCCTCCCCCAGTGCGTTCTGTGATCACCAAGTTCAAAGCTGTGCACATGTGGACACTCAATAAATGTTCATTGGTGATGAGAAGTCTCCTGCGTGGTCTGCCCTGCACCTGCTCTCTCCCTTCCAGGCTCCATCAGTTCACAGCTGCCAGGTACTGAACACACGCCCTGCTAAACACATCGTGAGTCTTACCTCATTCAGCCCTTCCAAGAATCCTCTGAAGGGTTCTGATTTTACAGACAAAGCAACTTTAGCATGGATAAGTGCTTTGCTGAAGGTGTTGAAGCTAGTCGGTGCCAGAGCCAGGACTCCACGAAGGCCATGCGACGCCCCAGCCCACAGCTTTCACTTGTACGGCAGGTTGCCAAACTCATGTTGATGGGGTTAGGCCTCATGGGGGCTCTGGTGCTCTTAAGTACAGATGAAGCCCTGTACCCTCCTCTATGTTATTGGGTTGCTGCCAAGTGGCACTGCCATATCCAATTGTTAAAGAAGTCAGGAATCCTGATTTTTATGTGAAACCCAACTTTTGAATGTCAGTAACAATCTTTAATTAAGTAACTACTGACCCAACAAAACATGCAGGCCAAATGTAGCTTTCAGGTTACCAGCTGCTGATCTTCTATGCCAAGTGAGAAGGCAGAGGGCCTCAGAGCTTCAGCAGGAGATGAGCCAAGCACCAACTGCCTCACCAGCCCTGAGCCAAGGCTGAGGTTAGAACCAGACAGGCCCCAGACCTTCTGCAAACTCCTCCACCTAGGCCTTCAAACCTATAAGTATGTGCTGAGCATACATATCCTATGTGCCTACCTGTCGTTGGCTATGCATAGAGAAGAATATTAATTTACTGGATGTACTAAAAGCCTTCTTAGTCTGGATTCTCTGGGGTAAATCTGAAAAGACATAGAGGCTGGGTGTGGTGGCTAATGCCTGTAATCCCAATACTTTGGGAAGCTGAGATGGAAGGATCACTGATCAAGATCAGCCTGGGCAACACGGTGAGACCCTCATCTCTACGAAAGAAAAAAAATTAGCTGAGCATGCTGCCTCATGTCTGTAATCCCTGCCACTCCAGAGACTGAGGCAAGAAGATCTCTTGAGCCCAGGGGTTTGAGGTTATAGTGAGCTATGATCACACCACTGCATTCCAGCCTGGAAGATAGGATGGGATCCTGTCTCGGGCAGGTGGGGAAGGTGTAAGCAGTGGCTTCTACGTAGGTCCAAACACAGTGAGCCTGGAGCATGAGAGCATGATAGGCAGAACATTTACAGGAAAACTTACAGCAAGTATGTGCTCTGAGACTTCAGGGTGAGGAGGAGCTTGCCAGGCAGATACGAAAAGGAACAGCAGGTACGAAGGCATGCAAGCTTGAGAACTGCCAGTAGTTTCTCGTTCCACAGTATATAGAGTATGATGTGGGGAGCGGTAGATGAGGATGAACCAGCAGGCATGGACCAGATCCTACTGTGCTGTGCTCAGAAGCTTACACATGGAATCATGCTGAGGCAGTTTGGTTTTGTTTTTTTTAATAGAAACAGGGTCTTACTGTGCTTCCCACCCTGATCTCAAAACATGGCCACCAGCAATCCTCCTCCCTCAACCTCCCAAAGTGCTGAGATTGTAGGCATGAGCCACCATGCCCGGCCAGACTGCAGATGTTTTAGCAGATTGAATGTGATCCTGTCTGCATTTTGGGAAGATGATGCACTGCAAGAGGAATGGCTGAGCCAGGGAGCTGAAAGAGGAGGTGCTAAGTCTAAGCCAATGGCAATGAGGATGGAGAAGATAGAGGTAGTATTTAATAGGACTTGGTGATTAATTGGAAGTGAAGAGGAATAAAGAAAAGGGTGGGTAAGACCAAGGCTGACTCCCAGATTCTTGCTCTGGGAGCCACTGAGTGGACAGTGAGGCATCCACTGTCACTGGGAACACTGGGACAGACACAGATTTGTGCATACCATACACAACTCAGCTTGGTAAATGGTGAATTTGTGTTGCTCATGGAATAGCCAAGGGGTAGTTGCTTTTTGTGGTCTGGAGCTCAGAGAGAGTCTGGGCTAGTGACCGATTTGGGAATTGTCAGTAGAGAGGGTCCCTGAAGTCATAGAAGGGACTGAGATCATCTGGGGAAGTGAAAAGAGAAGGGAAAGGTCCCAAAGAAAGTGATAGCCACCCATGGTCCCTGCTGTCAAGATGCTCTCCCTCTCCTAGTGGAGAAGTCAAACCCTGCAAAGTTTCCTAATACAAGGCAGACAGAATTCTGTGCTTAAATGAGATAACAGAGTTCTGGCTTGCTCTTGGTATTTCAGCGGAGTCGGGGAAAGGGGGATCTGAGCTGCAGTTGTGAGATCTAACCACGAGATGGCGCCTTGGCACCTCCTTGTGCCAGATTTCCCCACCCTGCAAACACAGCCTAACCTGGAGCAGGAGGTGATCAAAGGCTGGGAGAAGGGTGGCTGTTTCAACAATTAAGGAGGCAGATCGGAGTTTTTTATTAACATCAAATCCAAATGCAAGGTCACCTTTTGAAAAGAGAGGGAGCCTGGGAGAAGAGCAATATGCCAAGTATGTCAAATGAGAGTCCACGTATGTTTGAGCATGCACCCCTATGTTCCTATGTGTACTTGTCAATATATGTCCTCTGCCTCTATATGTACTTGTGTTTCCCATGAATGTCTCTGTGCATGTTGTGTGCCCTATGTTCCCAAGGCCGTCTGCATGTGTACCCCAGTGCATCCCAGGGCCTCTCCACATGTGTGCATGTGTCCCAGGGAGCAGACAACCAGAAATCTCTACCTCCACGCCTCAGAAAGTGAGGAGTCCCTTGGCGCTGAAAGAAGTGGTCCACAGAGTCTGAAACCAAGGGACTCTGACATTTTAGGGAGCCTCAAAGCAGCAGCAGACCATGAAGAATATCCCTCTCCCCAGTAGCCATAATCAAAATCATTCATTTATCAGATGATCTCTTCAGATTACACCCAGGTTCTGTGTGTAGCTACCCAGGGTCATGTTCACATAAGCCTTCCGAAAGGATCACTTGAAAGGCCAATTTATTCATAACGTCATCTTTGATTTACCATTTACAGTATTTAATAAGCATTCATTGATTACCTGTCATGTACTCAGCACAATGCTAGACACATTTTCTGTTTCTCTTTTAATCTTGTGAAGCAGGTCCTGAAAGAGGAAAAGTACATTAGTCACAACTGCAGAGTCTGGAATGTTCATTAGAATGTTCTGGTCTTTTTTTTTTTTCCTGAAGATGGGTCATGGTGTGCCCTAGGAAAGTTTTCAGCAGGGAGGTAACATGATCTTGTCCCTCTTGTTGCTGAATGGAATTGAAAATGGATCAGAACAGGTATGAATAAAGTAAGGAGACCAGTTAGAGAGTTGTTGCAATGCCTAGATAGTGGTTCTTAAAGCTTAGTGTGCCTCTGAGCCACCTTAAGGACTTGTTAATAACAGAGGTTGCTGGGCTTCACCCCCAGAGTTACTGACAGGAGGTCGTGAGTGGGATCCGAGAATTGGGACTTCTAGCAAGCTCCCAGATAGTGTTGGTGATGCTGGTCCAGGAACCACAATTTGTCTATGTTGCCTAGGCTTGTCTCAAACTCCTGGGCTCAAGGGACCATTTGAGAGCCATTGGTCTATGAGTAAGAGTAAGGTAGTTTAAGGTGCTGGGACAGGGGTACCATGTGCCCTCTGGGATACCCACCTCAATTCTCCACCACATACCTTCTGAGGGTGGATGTTCAAGGGTTAGAAATGGCAACACTCCGTAAGGATTAACTTGTGGGGGTTAAGGAAAGGATGCAGACTCTTCTGGGATGACTAGCAAGTTTTGCACTTGAAGGATGGTGGTGTCATTTATGAAACTACAGAGCATAGGAGAAGCAGGTTGGGGTTGGTGATTGGGATGGAGGAGAGGCTGAGTTCAGTGTTGGACATGGAAAATTTCAGATAGCTGCAATGAGATGCCTGGAGAAAATATGCAACTGGCAGCTGTGTCTATGGGTTTGGATCTCTCACTAGAGTTCTGGGCCAGAGATAGGACACTTGGGAGATAACAGCAGACAGCTAGTCATTAAAGACTGGGGCCGGGCGTGGTGGCTCATGCCTGTAATCCCAGCACTTTGGAAGGCTGAGGCAGGCTATAACTTGAGGTCAGGAGTTTAAGACCAGCCTGGTCAAAATGGTGAAACCCCCGTCTCTACTAAAAATACAAAAATTAGCTGGGTGTTGTGGTGTGCACATGTAATCCCAGTTAATCAGAAAACTGAGGCGTGAGAATTGCTCGAACCCGGGAGGTGGATGCTGCAGTGAGCCAAGATCACCCCATTGCACTCCAGCCCAGGCAACAGAGTCTCTGTATCAAAAAAAAAAAAAAAAAGACTTGAGAGGGGATGAGCTCACTCATAAAGAGTGTAGATAGGAAGAAAAAGCAGAAGCTTCTCCGCTGAGAAAGAATTACTGACATTAAGCACATAGGTGAAAAGAGACAGTAAAGAAGACAAATGATCAGAGTAGGAGAGTGAGGCAAGAAGGGGCTAACACAAGCTGTAAGAAGTAGAGTGGGGAAACCCAACGAAGCCACAGACAGGCAGGGCGTCCCATCACTCTGGCCTTCCCAAGCTGCTGGAGAGAGCAGGGCCATGGGCATCATCTTCTTCACTGCTCCTAGACTTCTCCCAAAGGAGTTCACCAACTTCTATTCATGCACTGACACCTGTCCTGGAGCTTGACTTCTGATGTTCTGTGGCTGAGGCTGAGGGTGGGAGGAAGGGGGTGTTGCCACAGACTCCCTCATATATAGATACACACAAACACACTCGTGATCTCTGACCTGTCTTGAGCAGGAAGGTTGCAGAGAGCTTTCAAATTCTGCTTCATCCACCACCCTCACTGGCAGTTCCAGACTTCGGAAAGTTCTTAATGATGAATCTTTGGCTTCTAGCCTCCTTCTTTCTCCATCGCTCCCCTGGCTGAGATCATCCAGCCCTGAGCTCTGGACCTGTCATGCATCTTCTGGGACACTCACTTGGAATCATACTTTCCATGAGTTAATGGTGTCACTATCACCTCCTCTATATCAATAATTTTACTTTAATCTCATTTACTACTTTACTAGAAATGAACCAAAAAAACAACTAGTCCTCTCTGCCTTCCTCTCCTTTTTTATTGGTGTTTTGGAAGTTGCAGAAACTGAGATCACAGAGGAAATGGGACGTAGCTAGGCTCACGCAGTCACTCGGAGTTAGGACTAAACCTAAGCCCCTGAGTCTGAGGCAGTAGATAATAGCGATTCTGAGCAGAGAGGAGCCAGGGGCTGATTACCCCAGCTCTACCACTTAACTTAGCTGCTTGACCTTGGGCAAGACATTTAACCTCACCCCTCCCCTGAAAATGGGGATGATATGGGTATCTCTCTCATAGAGCTGCTGTGAGGGTTAAATAATCCAAAATTTGTGAAGCACTTTGCACAGAGGCTGTCACATTCTGTAATAAGTCTGCTGTGATTATTTCTACTTTGCCCTGGTCTACACATCTTCTTGCTTTTAGAAACATCTTTCTTCTTTCTTAATTCCCATTCTCCTTAGCATTTCCCTCTCATTTGTTCATCTTTAATCCCTGTCTCTGCTTCTCAGGAGGGGAAGGTTGGGTTTGTTGCCTGACAGCCAGGGAGTGCCTGCCATGGTAACACAAAAACATGTAGCCTGCGCATGTTAGTGTAACAATCACACAGCACCCCCGTGAGTTACAGTCACTCAACAGTCTCTGGGTATCTCAAGACCACACTCAATCAGCCCAGGCCCCTGTGGCTTCAGAAACACCTTGGCTCCTGGTCAGGTGGAGCTTATACTGAAACCTATCCCAGGCAACTTTGTCTGGCCAGCTTGTGTCTCCAACTGTCTCAGAGCCTGGCTTGGCATTGGAAGTTTTCAGCCCAGGAAGCGTGAGTGAAGTGGGCACCTTAGAGGGATTTTAATCCATTCAGGAGAGACTGTGATGGTAGCCCCCCTACACACACACACAAACACTGACACACATGTGCACATGAGCAGATAGGCTTGAGTCTGCAGCTCACAAACTTCTTCCACGTTCATAATTGCCCCCTCATCCAAAGTCTCTTGAGGTTCTTAGACAAAGGATTGATACCTATTTTACAGAGGAAGCTGAGGCCAGCAAAGAATAGTGCTTTGCTTAAAGGAAAGGATGTGATAGAGCCGAGCAAATGTAGGGCCCCTGCGTCCCAGCCACGAATCTTTCTGTTTCACTGCAGCTGCGAGCTGCCAGCCCAGAAGGCGGCTCACATCAACGTGAGCTAATTCACGCCCCACTACCCACCCTACCCGATCCCACCGCCAAAGCCACCGCTTCCCCTTTGGTGGCCGCTGGGGAAAAGGGAGAGAACTGCCATAGCTTGTCTCTTTAATGCGCGCCCCCGGAGGCCCGGCGCGCCCCCGCCACTATAACTGGAGTGCATGGAGCAGGCTTAGCTCAGAGGAGGAAGGGCGGGCGCTGGGCACCCATTGACCGACTTTTCTAAGTGCCATCAGTGCCCGTCTGTCCCGCCTCCATGGACCCGTCCGGGGACGGCCACAGCTGAGGACCCCACGCCCATTAGGATACCGGCTGGGTCGCACCCAAGCTACCCGCACCGCGACCCCCGCCGGCTGTGCCGGCTTCCCGCGCCTTTGCCCGCATCTCTTGCCGTCGGGCCAGGGCTCTGCCGCCGTCACGCCTCGAGCTCCGCGCTCACCGCCCGATGCTGGTGCACCCCTACTCCACCATGGTGAGTAGTCTCGGGGCCCCGGGCATACTAGGCTGGGGGATTGGGGCGCCTGAGTGCTGGACTTTCCAACCCTCCTGCCCCGCGCCAACGAAATCTCGGAGGGAAGGGGCCTCAGGGACTCCGCCAGCTGAAAACTCGAGGCGCAAGTGACCGCTGTCCCCAGCCTGAGGCTCCTGCGGCCGCGAGTGGCTTGGAAATAACCTCGGGCCCCAGGAAGGGTGATGGACGGCAGCCGGACCCTTCAAGCTGAGGAGGATCCTTTCGGGCTGGGGTCCTTTCAGCTCCAGCGGGTCACCTAATGCACCATCTCCTTCCCCAGGAGCGCCCTGAGGGGCTGGGCGCAGCGGCTGGCGGGGCCCGCCTGTCGTCTTTGCCCCAGGGGGCCTACGGGCCGGCGCCCCCTCTCTGCCACACGCCGGCCGCCGCAGCTGCCGCCGAATTCCAGCCGCCCTACTTCCCGCCACCCTACCCGCAGCCACCACTGCCCTACAGCCAGGCGTCCGACGCCGCCGCAGCCTTTCCCCACCTGGCAGGAGACCCGTACGGCGGCCTGGCGCCCCTGGCGCAGCCTCAGCCTCCTCAGGCCACCTGGGCCGCGCCCCGCGCCGCCGCCCGCGCCCACGAGGAGCCACCAGGCCTGCTGGTACCGCCTGCCCGCGCCCTGGGCCTTGACCCGCGCCGTGACTACGCCGCCGCAGTGCCCCGGCTCCTGCAAGGCCTGGCCGACGGCGCGCACGGCCTGGCAGACGCACCGCTCGGCCTTCCAGGGCTGGCGGCGGCGTCCGGTCTGGAGGACCTGCAGGTGAGACCCGAGGGGTTCGGGATGGATCGGGACTGGCCGCGGTGGTTTAGTACCTTGGCTGGAGGCAGAAGGTGGCAAATGCAGGAACCCGACTTTTCTCCCAGCTCGCCACTTCTCACTGGTGACTCGGAGGATGTGTCCAATCTCTTGGGTTAGACGGTGCCTGGCCATCAAGGCTGCCTGGCACTGAGTCCGCCGGCACCGAGTCCACCGCCTTAATAGCGGCGACCCTCGGCAGGGACCGAATCGCTTCTTTTCTCCCCGCTGGGCCGTTGAGCCACGTATGGCGTCCATGGGGCAGCCTGCACCTGGGGCGAAGAGAGGCCTAATAGTTACCAGTTTAAGGTTCAAAATTCCCTTTTTGCACTGCACGGTGAGTTACTCACGGCTCTAGCTCGGTGCCTAGACTTGGCGATTCCTGGGACTGTCCGTTGCCGCCCCAGGCGGAGGTGGTGAGCATTGTGCGAGCAGACCGGGACCTGGGGTCGCCGGGTCTTGGGAAGCCATGGACGACTAGGTCTTTATGCGCCCTCACCGCCGCCCTCTCCTATTTGCAGAAGATGGATGATCCTGGAATGAGCCTCCTAGACCAGTCCGTGATCAAGAAAGGTAAGGAATGGTGTGCATCGTCAGGGTACAGCCGGGCAAGATGGTGCAGGCCCCGAGTGCACAGACCCATTTTCTTCACCTGCTGTGTCTCCTGTGTGTTGCCAGGCTGTCTGTCCACCAGAGGTTGGGCAGAGGTGCGAGCTTGATGAGTTTGCCCAGCACCCTGTAGCCTGGGGTGGGCCTGAGCAGGTCAGTGTTTACTGGGCTGCAGCACTGGGAGTCTGGCCTCTCTCCACCGAGGGGGAGGATGCTCTTAATGGATCTGGAGGTGATTTGCAGAACGAGTTAAACCACTTCCCTGTTTCCCTAAGAGGGGGGAATGGAAGTGCTGTTCCCACGGAGTTTGGGAAATGATTTTCACTTTAGAGAGCCTTAGCATTCCCCAACCTGGCTGGCGCTTTCTTCCCCTTCCTTCCGGCAGGGCCTTGGAGGCCTCTGGCAGAATTTTCTTTCTGTGGAGCTGGTGTGTGAAGACTGTGTGTTAGGCTGTGTGCACCTGAGTTAGGGCCCACCTGCTCCTGGGTGTCTGTGTCTATGTGAGTTCAGGGTCCTGTGTGTGTCTGAAATGTTCCTTTCGTGGGTGTCTTAGCATTTCTTGGAGTCTGAGTGTGTCTGTTTCTGTGAATGTGTCTTTACATAGGTGTGCATTTCTCTGCATTTGGGGTCTCAACATGTAGGGTATCTCTGTTGTGTCCTGCACTTTGTTCTTTGGTATCTGAGGATTTCTAAGCATGCGGGAGCCCTCTCTCTGTGTGCATATATAGGAGTATTTGTGTGACTCCTGGCATTAGTAAAATCCAGGAGGCACCTTTTCTGGCCTGAGGACCAAGTTCTGGCCATGCCAGAGGAAGGTGAGAGACAGACAAAAAGAGCCAGAGAGGAGCAGAGACTCAGAGGGGCCGAGGCATTGGGTGGCCTCCTTACATTTGGGGCAGGTGCTGGAAGGATTTCAGAGGCACACATGAGCCTGCGGTGCCCCAAGCAGGCACTGTTCCCACAAGATTTAGCTCAAGTTGTTTTTCAGACGAATGAATTCAAGCCTGGACTCTATTTGCCCTGCACTTGTTCTCTGAGGAAGTCAGGGTGGAAGTGGTGGTGGCAGGTTGGGTCTGGACTTCCAGGATGGCCAGGAGTGTGTAGGGGAAAGATGAGGCAACAGCACAGGAAGGTGGGGGAAGGGATGGAATTGGGTTTATGTCCTGTATGGCTGGGAACTGGGGGTGTGGGGAAGACACTGGGAACCTGATTGTGCAGTAGCTTTGCTGGCCAGGCTTGGTTGGCTTACTGGACAGCGCCTTTCTTGAACCCTGAAGAAAGAGATCCGTCTACAGTGGGCAGAAACCTGCCTGGACTTCCTGGCCATAAGAAATATGACCATGGTTGTGGTCCTCAGTTCCCTATTCCTGCTCGGGCTCAAGAGACTGGGAGTCTAGGTTCACTGACTCCCTGAAAAAGGCTAAGACCCTGCATTTTAGAAAGGGGCTTGGGGATCTCTGCCCTGCCCAAGGGTAGAAGGATCAGCTGTTGCTCTGAGCACCTTAACCCGGAACCCTGGTTCAAAGCCGAGACAGGAGACTGGATGCGAGGTCCTCCCAGAGCTGGTTTCTCTCAAACAACTTCCAAGACTCCTACATCCTAGGGGTGCGCCGGAATCCCCCAAAGAACAGAACCAGAGTCCGAACGTCCTGGTTGCGGCGCTCTGGCTCCCTGGAGCCGGGCGGGGCGGGGCGGCGCGGACTTGGGTGTGTACCGGCCGGACCCCAGCGCCAGCGGGTCTGTGGCCGACTGGAGCGAGGTGGAGCGCAGGCGATCTGAGCTGGGACTGCGCCCTGGACGCCCCAGCCTGGACGTTGAGTCCCAGCCCGCAGCACTGCAGCAAAGGGGAAGGGGCAGGAGCCGGGTACAGCTGGATCCGGAGGTCGCGACCCAGTGGAAGGCGTGGGCGAACGACCCAGGGCGGCCGCGGCAGAGAGGCCGGTGGGCTCCTTGCTCCCTGGAGCCGGCCCCTCCCCACACCCGCCCTCGGCGCCCCTGGCAGTTTTCCCCTCGGCCCTCCGCGGCCACTGCGTGATTCGGCCTCGCCGCCGACCCCATGTGGAGTGAATTAGCACCCTCCTTCGTCCGTTGCCCCTTCCGACGGCGCCCGGAGCCCCTCTCCTCTCCCACAGACTTTCGGCGTCAGTGAGTGCAGGACGGGAGCCTGCCCTGCCGGGGACCTGGAATCAGCGAATGTCGTTCTTGGCCACCCGAAGCGTCGGATCCCTGTAGCGCCTCCCAACCTGGGCCGAAGGGGCGGCTGCGTCGGTAAGGTTGGGGTCCTGGGTGCGAAAGGGAGGCAGCTGCAGCCTCAGCCTCGCCCCAGAAGCGGCCTTCGGGTCGCGGTGGTGGGTCGGAGGCTGGGGCTGTTCTCGGGCTTAGCCTTCGCCAGTGCGGCGGGGCAGAGGCGCCTGCAGCTCGCAGGTCCCAGACCTAGGCTGCAAAAGCTTCGCTGACCGCAGGCAAGGGTCCGGGAGGGGCAGCCAGGCGAGGCCTCCCGCCTTACCACACGCCCCGGGGTCGCAGACCAGTTGCACCCGCGGGGTGGGGCAGGGGATGGCGGGGCTGAGGCCGACCCTAAGCGAATAAGGGAGCCCTCCATTTCCTGCCCACATTTGTCACCTCCAGTTTTACAACCTATCCCAGAGACACAGAAAGCAGGCAGGACTGGTGGGGAAACGCGGCTGGACAGGAATATTTTCCAGCCGACAAGAGCAGTGAGCAGGGCTGTTCGGGTCTCAAGAGGAGCTCAGAGGAGGTGGGTGAGTGCCTGAGGTTGGGAGGCTGCCTGGAGGAGAGGTAGCTGAACCGGGCTCAAGAGGTGCTTAGTGGGTGTTGAATGAATGGGTGATGGGTTTTGAAGTCTGAGTGTATTGAAAGAGGGGGTGTGTGAAAAGGGCTACTTTCATCACACAGGGCACACCATGTGCAAATGCCCTCCCTGCGGAAAAGCCAGACAGGTTAAAAAGGTTACAAACGTGTGTGGGTTTCAGGTTATACAATCAGAACTGAAGGGGAGTGGTCAGGGATGAGAACTGAGATGGATCCCTCCTTCCCTCTGGAGGAGAGTGGGTGGTTGCCTACTTGGGGGTGAAGAACCCATCTCCACAGGCTGAGCTGTCCAATCTCAGGGGAACTCCAGGATAAGAGCAGATGTAAACAGTCGCCCTGTACCCTGCTGTCTTTGGCCCTGGAGAAGGAGGAGGGAGATGGGGAGGGTCTCCCCTTTCCAGAGAATCTCTAAGCAGCCCAGGACATGGATGAGATACTGACCTCTGGGACAGAATTTGAGAGGGTGCCAAAAAACTCAGTAATCAAGATAAATAGGCCAGGAGCAGTGGCTCATGCCTGTAATCCCAGCACTTCTGGAGGCCGAGGCGGCTGGACCACTTGAGGTCAAGAGTTGGAGACTAACCTGGACAACATGGTGAAACCCTGTCTCTACTAAAAATACAAAAATTAACTAGGCATGGTGGTGCTCACCTGTAATCCCAAAGCTGAGGCAGGAGAATTGCTTGAACCCGAGAGGTGGACATTGCAGTGAGCCGAAATCGTGCCACCGCACTCCAGCCTGGGTACGAGAGAGAGACAGTTTCACTCTTTCGCCCAGGTTGGAGTACAGTGCCACGATCTCGGCTCACTGCAACCTCTGCCTCCCAGATTCTCGTACCTCAGCCTCCGGAGTAGCTGGGATTACAGGCACCCACCACTATGCCAGCTAATTTTTGTATTTTTAGTAGAGGCAGGGTTTCACAATGTTGGCCAGGCTGGTCTCGAACTTCTGACCTAAAGTGACCTGCTCTCTTAGGCCTCCCAAAGTGCTGGGATTACAGGCATGAGTCACCACGCCTGGTCTTTTAAAATAAAAATAGTGCAAAAATCCACAATTAAAAAAATATCAAAAATTTACAGAATCTGAACTTGAACTTCCACAACCCTTTCTCACTTGCCTTGAGGCTACTGTCTGTCCTAAAACGCAACTAAAAAAACATGCAGATGGAGTTTGGACTTTACCTGAGAACAGTAGGAGCTATGGAAAAGTGTGGAGCAGGGAAGTGAAGGATAGAAATTATACATAAAAGAAACCTTGGGCTGGGCACGTTGGCTTATTCCTGTAATTCTAGCACCTTGGGAGGCCAGGGTGGGTGGATCACCTGAGGTCAGAATTCGAGACCAGCCTGACTAATGTAGTGAAATCCCATCTCTACTAAAAATACAAAAAAAGTAGCCAGGCATAGTGGTGCATGCCTGTAGCCCCAACTACTGTGGAGGTTGAGACAGGAGAATCACTTGAGCCCGGGAGGCCATTGCACTCCAGCCTGGGCAAAAAGAGGGAAAACTCTGTCTACAAAAAAAGGAAGAAACTCTCTGGCAGTTGAAGAGAGGAAAATTTAATCAGCAGGTCCCAGCATGGGAGATGAGGAGACTCAAAGGAGGGCCTTTGCACCTGCTGTGCCCCATTGTGGGCTGGAAGCAGGTCACTAACCCCCTCCTATCTACTTGCCTCTTGCTCTGACCCCTCCAAGTTTTGGACCCTAAGTGTAGTCTAAGGATCCCCAGGGGAAGCTTGTTAAAAATGCAAATTTCTTGGGCACCACCCCACGTTGACTGCATGAGAACCCCTGGAAGTTACATTTTTTAACGGATTTATTGAGGTAAAATTTACATACCTAAAATGTACACATTGTAAGAATACATTATGATGATTTTTAGTAAATGTAGAGTTGTGTAACCATTACCACAATCCATTTTGAGGCATTTCTGTCAACCCCAGAAGTTCCCATTTGTAGCTAATCCCCATTCTAACCCCAAGACTTAGGCCACCACTGATCTGCTTTCTGTTCATATATTTACATAGTCTTGACATGTTCTATAAATAGAATATATAAATATGCAGAGTTTTGCATCAAGCTTCTTTTCCTTAGCATAATGTTTTTCCCAAACATTATGCTAAGGAAAAGAGGCAGCAATAAAAAGAAACTATTATCAGCAGTTTGTTTCTTTTTATTGCTGCATAGTATGCCATTTTATGGGTATAGCACATTTTGTTTATCCGTTGGTCAGTTGATGGGCACTTGGGTTGTTTCCACTTTTTAGCTGTCTTGAATAATGTTGCTGTGAACATTCACATACCTGCCTTAGTGTAGACATATATTTTTATTGCTTTTGGGTAAGTTCCTAGGAGTGGAATTGCTGGATTCTATGGTCAGTTTAGATTTAATTTTTAAGAAACTGTCAAGCTGTTTTCTAAAGTGGCTGTATTATTTTACATTCTCACCAACAATGTGTGAGGGTTCCACTTTTTCACATCCTACACTTAGAATTGTCTTTTTTTTTTTTTTTTTCTTGAGATGGAGTCTCACTGTGTTGCACAGGCTCGAGTGCAGTGGCAAGATCTCTGCTCACTGCATCTTCTGCCTCCTGGATTCAAGCGATTCTCCTGCCTCAGCCTCCCCAGTAGCTAGGATTACAGGCACATGCCACCACACCTGGCTAATTTTTGTGTTTTTAGTAGAGACATGGTTTCACCATGTTGGCCAGGCTGGCTGGTCTCAAACTCCTGACCTTGTGATCAACCTGCCTCAGCCTCCCAAAGTGCTGGGATTACAGGAGTGAGCCACTGTACCAAGCCTGTCTTTTGTATTACAACCATCTAGTGGTATCAAAGTGTAGGTGTAATTTGCATTTCCCTAATGACTAATCATGTTAAGCACTTTTTCACGTGCTTATTAACCATTCATCTCTCATTTTTAGTGAAATGTCTATTTACATATTTGGACCATTTTCTATTTAGGTTGCTATCTTATTGTTGAGTTATAAGAGTTCTTTATATAATATATTCTGAATATGGTCCTTTATCACATATATGATTTGCAAATATTTTTTTCCAGTTTGTGATTTATCTTTATCTTTTCTGTTTTTAAAATTTTATTTATTTATTTATTTTACATTTTAAAAAAGTATTTTTTTGGCCGGGCGCGGTGGCTCATGTCTATAATCCCAGCACTTTGGGAGGCCGAGGCGGGTGGATCACGAGGTCAAGAGATCGAGACCATCCTGGTCAACAAGGTGAAACTCCATCTCTACTAAAAATACAAAAATTAGCTGGGCATGGTGGTGCAGGCCTGTAGTCCCAGCTCCTCAAGAGGCTGAGGCAGGAGAATTGCTTGAACCCAGGAGGCGGAGGTTGCGGTGAGCTGAGATCGCACCATTGCACTCCAGTCTGGGTAACAACAGCGAAACTCCATCTCAAAACAAAAAACAAACAAAAAAAATTATTTTTTTCATAGAAACAGGTCTCAATATGTTGCCCAGGCTGGTCTCAAACTCCTGGCTTCAAACAATCCTCCTGCCTTGGCCTCCCTAAGTGCTGCGGTTACAGGTGTGAGCGACTGCTCACAGCCTCTTTTTTTTTTTTTTCCATTAAAAAACTTTTTTAGAGATAGGTCTCACTATGTTGTCCAAGCTGGAGTTTGGTGGCTGTTTGCAGGCAAGATCATGGTGCACTGCAGCCTCGAACTCCTGAGCTCAAGTGATCCCTCAGCCTGAGCCTCTGGAGTAACTGGGACTACATCCTCGTGCCACCATACCATGCTATTTTCTTAATAATATCTTTTGAGGTGCAAAAGTTTTAGACTTTGATGAAGCTCAACTTATCATCATTTTATTTATTTGTTTGTTTGTTTTATTGAGATGGATCTCACTCTGTCACCTAGGTTGGAGTGCAGCGGCACTATCTCAGCTCACTGCAACCCTGGCTCACGCAACCTCCTCCTCCCAGGTTCGAGTGATTCTCCTGCCTCAGCCTACCAAGTAGCTGGGATTACAGGCACACGCCACCACGCGTGGCTAATTTCTGTGCTTTTAGTAGAGACAGGGTTTCACTGTGTTGGCCAGGCTGCTCTTCTGACCTCAGGTGATCTGCCCTCCTCAGCCTCCCAAAGTGCTGGGATACCAGGTGTGAGCCACCGTGCTCGACCTATTATTTTCTTTAATAGGCCTTGCCTTTGGTGTTGTACCTAGGAAGTCTTTGCCCAACCTGAAGTCATGAAGATTCCTCTCCTAAGTTTTCTGTTGTTGTTTGTATTTTTAGTAGAGACAGGGTTTTGCCATGTTGGCCAGGCTGGTCTCAAATTCCTGACCTTAAGTAATCTGCCCACCTTCCCTCCCAAAGTGTTGAGATTACAGGCGTGAGCCACCATGGCTGGCCTCCTATGTTTTCTTCCAGAAAAAAACTTGCAATTTTAATAAGCTTTATGGGAGAGTCTATTGCACACTTCCCTGGGTTCAGAAGTCAGAATGTATTTACCGTCTTTAGACAGACTGCCTTGTCTGACACGTTGAATAACTGGGAGCTCTTGTGTCTGGGAGAGTGCGTGTGTGTTTGTGTGTGTGTGTGTGTGAATGGCTTCTGCATATGTGACCAGCAGGACACCATTAGATCACTTCAGCTTCAGGAGTCACCACAGGGAATCCTGTCTTGTGCATGTGGGAGACCAACTTTAGTGTCTCCGCTTCACCCTCTGTGCTACTTTAATTCCTACCTCCATCACTGCCCCTTCCCTGACCCACCTGCTTCCCTAACCATGGATTCCATCCCTCTTGCCATTTTTAAGGGAAGAGGCTCTGAGAAAAAAAGAGACAGGTAGGGGAAGCAGCAAAGTCTGTCACTCATATACACAAACACATGTGCAATGTAATGTCTGCCCATATATTTAGCAGCACGTATGTTTGCATAAATCTGGCATCAACAGGAGAAAGTGCTTGCAAATATCCATATGCAGGCTACACATTCCTCCACACTCAAAAGCTCATCCTCATTGCTGTGTCTATCACAAGGGCAGACAGTTTTTGTATGCAATCACCATTTTTCTTTGTTTGCGATGGAGTCTTGCTCTGTCATCCAGGCTGAAGTGCAGTTGTGCAATCATAGCTCACCACAGCCTCAAACTGGGCTCAATTGTCCTGTGGCCCCAGCCTCCCAAGCAGCTGAAACGATGGGCACATGCCACCATGCTTGGCTGACTGAAAATTTTTTTTTTTTTTTGTAGATATGAGGGATGAGGTCTTACTATGTTGCCTAGGCTGGTCTCAAACTTCTGGGCTTAAGTGATCCTCCTGCCTCAGTTTCCAAAAGTGTTGGGATTATATATGCTCAGCCGGCTGGGGCCCTGGGTTTTAAAAGCAGTTGGATAGAGAAGGCTGCTCATCCTGTTCCTCTGACCCCTACTACTAGTGAGGGGTGACAGGAGGGAAGACAGTCACTTTGCCATTCTTTTTATTTTTAATTTATCAATTTGTAGGTTTGGGTTTTTGTTTTTGAGACAGAGTCTCACTGTGTTGCCCAGGATGACATGGTTGGCTCACGTTGGCAACCTCTGCCTCTTGGGCTTAAGCCATCCACCTACCTCAGCCTACAGAGTAGTTGGGACTATAGGCATGTGCCACCACGCCTGGCTAATTTTTGTATTTTTTGTAGAGACAAGGTGTTACTTTATTGCCCAGGCTGGTTTCTAACTCCTGGGCTCAACCGGTCTTCCTGCCTTGGCCTCCCAAAGTGCTGGAATTACAGGTGTGAGCCACTGTGCCTGGCCCAATTTGTAATTTGATTTGTTTAAAGTCAAGCTTGAGATATATATTTTGTATACATACAGTACAGTTCAGTTCGGGTTCCCAGGGCCCTCGCATCATTAGTTTATTCCACATTCACTGATGGCCACCTGTGCCAAAACCCTGCCTTCAGCACACTCATACATGGTAGGGAAGATGGCCATGGAAACAGATCAGGAAGGTTCATCGTAGTAAGGTCAGAGATGTTGCTGAGAGGGAGCTGGGGGGCACGGGAGGGAAGCTCTGCACAGGGGATGGTGCCTAAACTCAGTAGCGTAAAGGACCCCTGAGACACAGAGGAGCACTGTGGGGCTCAAAGATCTCACACCCTGGGAGTCACCACATCCCAGGAGACACTTCACACTTGTTCAATTTGGCCTGTGCTGGGTTTTTTAATCTTTGAATCGTTGCCAATGCTTAAAAATTGAGAGATTTTGGCCGGGTGCAGTGGCTCACACTTCTAATCCTAGCACTTTCAGCGGTCAAGGAGGGCAGATCACAAGGTTAGGAGTTCAAGCCCAACCTGGCCAACACAGTGAAATCCCGTCTCCATTAAAAATACAAAAATTAGCTGGGCATGTGGCAGGCACCTATAATCTCAGCTACTAGGGATGCTGAGGCAGGAGTATCGCTTGAACCTGGGAGGCAGAGGTTGCATCGAGTCGAGATCGTGCCACTGCACCCCAGCCTGGGCAACAAGAGCAAAACTTCATCTCAAAAAAAAAAAAAAAAAAAAAAAAAACAGATATTTTACATAACAACCCAGAATCCTAGTTTCAAAAACCAGCAAAATGAAACAAAAACACAAACAAACCAGGAGCTCTGTGTCCTGCATGGCAGGGCTTTGCAGAGTGTGCCCTTCGGCCCGCCAACCTCCCCCACAGCCCACTTACTGTGTTACCTGTTGGGCCCCTCCTCTCTTGAAGCCTGGAGCTGTGCTGTCCACCAAGGTGGCCACTAGCCACATGTGGCTCTTGAGCACTGGAAATGTGACTAGTCTGAATTGAGACAAAGTTAAGCATAAAATGTCCATTGGATTTTGAAGACTTAGTTCAAAGAATGTAAAATATATCTCACTAATAATTTTTAAAGTGTTGATTACATGTTAAAATGATTTTATTTTTTATATATTGGGGTAAATAAAATATACTAAAATGCTATATATTATTTACTATTATATTAATTAAAATTAATCTCACATGTTTCTTTTTACTGTTTAAAAATGTGGGCCAGGCCTGGTGACTCACCCCTTTAATCCCAGCACTTTGGGAGGCCAAAGCAGGCAGGCAGATCACTTGAGTCCAGTTTAAGACCAGCCTGGGCCAACATGGTGAAACCTCATTTCTATGAAACATACAAAAATTAGCCAGGCGTGGTGGCACATGCCTGTAGTCCCAGCTACTTTGGAAGCTGAGGTGGGAGGATCGCTTGAGCCTGGGAAGTGATGGCTGCAGTGAGCTGTGATTGCACTACTGTACTCCAGCCTGACCAACAGAGCAAGACCCTGCCTCATAAAAAAGGTGGACACTAGGAACTATAAATGTGTACATGTGGCTTACATTATATTTCTCTTGGTTAGCTTGGGTCTAGAGCATAATGGACAAATGAGGACTCAGCAAGAGGGGCTGACAGAGCCAGACATGAGGGAGGGTGAAGAAGGCCATTGTAACATGATGGTTAAAGCTGTGAACTTTGGAGTCAGTGCTGAGAGTTCAAGGTTCATTTCTGCTCCTTACCTGCTGTGCCACTTTAATCTCTTTGAACTTTCAGCATGTGGTACTCATTGACAGATGAAATGATAGCCGCCACTCATTGACAGGTGACATCATTTTGTCCAGCTCTGGAGCTGGGATTTGATTCTCAGGGAACTGACCCGGGTCTGATGAGTTTTAGGCTGCAGAGTGATACATACAGACGGAAAGATCCCTCTAGACCGGGGCAGCGAGACCAGAGCAAGGACTGTGCAGAAATTAACATTGGAAGTGGGCCTGTTTCTGTGTGCATGCAGAGGAGTGGCCACATCCAAGGCACATAAAGAAATGAAAGCCATAGGATGGACAGGGGTGGGAGGAAAAAAAAAAAAAGGAAGCTGTAGGATGTAGTGATGGATGGGATGTGGTAGGGGAGAGGACCAGAGAAAGTATCACGGGGGTTTCTGGCTCGGCTGCTGGATGGAGGTGGGGAGGTTTATCCAGAGAGGGACAGACTAGAGATTCTACCAGGCTAGAGACCAGGCTAGCCTTTCCTACTTTTGTACTCCTCAGGCCTGGCACAATTCTTGGCATGCAAGTGCTCAGCCAATATTGCCAAGTGGCTGGAAGGTTAAGAGCAACACCTTTGAAACTGCAGTCTTGGGTTTGGTCCTGGTTCTCCATCTACTAGCTGCGTCATCTCAAGCATACTACTTCACCTCTCTGGACATCAGTCTGCTCATCTGTAAAATGGGAATAATGACAAGTGTAGTCCCTTGGGGGTTGTTCCAAGGACTGAGTGGGTTTATCTACGGGAGCACACAGCATAGTGAGTGCTCAGTAGCTGTTAGTCCCAGACTCCACACTCGAGCCTCACTCCTGACACACACGGGGCCTTGTCTACCAAGGCTCTAACCTCCTTAAAGGAAGAGAAGGCCAAAGAGTTCCACTAAGGAAGCAAATGCCTCAATATTCTCCCTTCCCCCAAGGCTAAGCGGGAGGATGGAGATTAGACTGCAAGAAGAACTTTCTCTTATAGTCAAAAGTATCTAAGTGAATTTTTGAAAAGTAACTTCTCAGATTCCCTTCTCTGCTCTTCAAACAATTAGTAATTAGGGAGCATTTTGCTGGGGTGGGGGGGGATAGGGCCTATCTCCTGATCTCCTTTAGCATTTGCAGAGTGACTTGGCAGGAAGAGGGCCAGGACAGAAGGCGCTAATAGGGCAATAACCTCCCTGTCCAGGGATGTGGAGTCCACAGTCTCCAGGCCCCTCATTGACATGCGGTGGGGTGGGAGGGTGGGGAGGAAAACGGGAATCACGACTGGGAAGAGGGGATTTGGGGACTCCCTGCGATTGCCCAGCCCTGGCCTGGCCCTGCTACAGGGCCCCAGGGGTCCTGCCTCCAGCTCACACTCATATCCTTATATCCAAGTCCTTCTCTGATGGTATCCGTTAAAACATCAAGATTCTGCTGGAGTTGTTTAAGATGGGACCAGCCTGGTTCAGTGATGGGGGGGGGGAAAGAATCAAGAGCCAGACAGCTCCGAGTTCACATCCACCAGCTAAGAGAACTTGGGCGAGTCATTTTCACCTCATCGTGCCTCAGTTTCTCCCTTCGTAAAGCAAGAATACCAGACCCTCCCTCAAGAGGGCCGTGTGCGGTGGCCGCTGGCTCAGGGTTTCCCTCCTTCTGCTATTCTGCTCCACAGTGCCCAACCCCTCCAAAGCCCGCAGCCTCTCAGCCCTCTCCTTGGCCAAAGACAGCCTGGTAGGCGGCATCACAAATCCCAGTGAGGTCTTCTGCTCCGTGCCCGGCCGGCTTTCACTGCTCAGCTCAACGTCCAAGTACAAGGTGACGGTGGGGGAGGTGCAGCGGCGACTCTCTCCTCCTGAGTGCCTCAACGCTTCCCTCCTGGGGGGCGTCCTCCGCAGGTAGGAAGGCAAGCCCACGAACCCCTGCCTGGCTGGATCCCTGGCCTCTTCAGGCCTTCTCAGGGTATCCACAAGGAGGCCAGCTTCACCTAGGCCCCCTGCCTCAGTCTCCCTGGGAGGGGAGGCCCTGGGGACTCTGGATTGTGCATGCTCTGGGGGCTGGCCCGGGTCCCTGGTGGCTGCCACATGTCTGTGGGTTTGGGGTGAGGAGGTAGGCAGAGAAAGAAGCCTGGGCACAGAGAAAGGAGGGAGAACTCACCCACACTGGGCAGAACAAGGCTGGGTCTGGGGAAGAGAGAGGGCCATTCTCACCCCCTCTTTCGGGAAAGGGACCCCATGACCCAACACCCATTCCACATGGCAGCATAGGCCCTGTGTGTTTTGGGGTGAGGAGCATGGTAGTCCATGGTTCATCTTCCTAAACCTGTGTCTGTCTCTCTCTCTGCATGTACTGGTGGCTGGGAAGGGTATCTCTGCTTCAGGGCTGTGAGCTTTGATGAGTCTGAGGATGGTGTGAACATGTGTGAGTGTGCATGTGTCTACAGTAGTGGATGGCCAGGAGCATGTTTCCATGAGTGTGAGTATCCTGTGTTTCTTCTAGTAGAACGTCTGGCCTAGTGTGCCCTGCTGTGTGTGTGTGTGTGTGTGTGTGTGTGTGTGTGTGTGTGATTGCCTGCATCTGGAGCTAGTCCCATGGATGTTTATACATCTGTACCACTGTGTGGGAGGGGCACTTGTGCAGTCATAGGGGGTATCTCCTTACTCCTGGCATCTTGGAGGATCTCTGTGAGTCCCTGAGTGTCTGTACCTGTGCTGCTGGGACCCTGACTTGGTGTGATCCTGTGTCTCTGTGTCTCTGGGAGTCTGAGTTTGTGTCTCTGCATATGTCTGTCTCTATTGGTTCTACGGGTCTCTATTCTTTCACCTGTGTATGTGCATGCGTGTGCATGTGTGTGTGTGTGTGAGCCCCCAGGTGGCTGTGTACCTGTGTCTCCCTGTGTGTCTCCCTTTCTGTATGTCACTACGTGTCTCTACATAAAGGTCTATGTATCCCTGGGTAGCTGTGTGTGGCTGGGTAGCTGGTGTGCTAAGGACTCTAGGATGCCCCATCCTGTGCTGCCCCTGCTGTCTAGAGGACTAGGGAGAACTGAGGGCTCCTGGAGCTGGGTGCTGGGCCCCCTACCCCTGTCTTGTCTGCAAAACCATTAATGTTAGGAAGAGGTTGTGCCCTTGCTGAACGAGACCCCAGAACAAACTTCAACAGGGGCCGGTGGGGACAACAAGGCCCTTTGGGGGTCACTTAGCCTCCATGCTTTTCTCTTGTCTGAGTGGTATGTCTGTCTCTCTCTGTGTATGTCAAGGGCCAAGTCCAAAAATGGGGGCCGGTGTTTGCGGGAACGGTTAGAGAAGATTGGGCTCAACCTGCCGGCTGGCCGTCGCAAGGCTGCCAACGTGACACTGCTGACTTCGTTAGTGGAAGGTGAGTGAGGCCTGAAGGTGGGCATGGGAGTGAATTCAAGGGCACGTGAGTGGTCTGGTGTGACTGTCTCTAATGCAGGAAGGGTTTTAGTCATGTGCATGTGTATCCGTGTATTGCAGTATCTGTGTACATACTCTCTGTTATGTATAAGCTGTGTTTGTGATTTCTGTGTGTAGTCTTTGTGCATGTGCAATGGAGACCTTCTTTCAGCATGTGTGTGTGTGCCTATGTGCATGTGCGTATATGCATGTGTGTGCACGTGCGTGTGTGTGTGCGTATGTGTGTGTGTTTGGGTGTGGGTGTGTGGGCAGGGAGTGGCCAGTGTTTGGATGTGGTAAAAGAATGAAGGGGGTGACAGCCCCCTCCCCTGGAGGTTGGCAGTTCTGGTATACATGGTGGGCTCAGCTCCTATCTCTCTCTGAGCTCAGAGCCCAACCCTGTTGGCCCCAAGGGAGGGCTATGGAATGGGGCTGGAGCTGGGCTCAGAAGGAAAGTTAGAGGGGGCATCTACAGAGGAAGAATGGGCCAGGATCCCCTTGCCAGGGGGGTCAGAGGTTCGAAGCTGTGTTCCAGGCGCAGAGGTACACCTGGCAGTAGTGACAGCTCCCCTCCCCCCAGGAGAGGCCGTGCACCTGGCCCGAGACTTTGGTTACGTCTGTGAGACCGAGTTCCCAGCCAAGGCAGCTGCCGAGTACCTGTGCCGACAGCACGCTGACCCTGGGGAGCTGCACAGCCGCAAGAGCATGCTGCTGGCCGCCAAGTGAGTGAGGGCACCCTGCACGGGCACATGTGGGTGCCATGCACAGACAGACATCATGTATAGGCACAATGGACACCACTGTGTACATGAGCAGTGAGCACATGCATGTACATGCAGCCCATGAAGCACCACACATGGCACACCTAGGCTCCCTGCTTAGGCTCTCATGGGCACATGTGTGCATGCCACATGGGCACACTTGGGTTCCACATGTGGGTATATTTGCACATCATGTGTATCACACTCAGACATACATGAACACTCCTAACAAGCACAGGAGCACACATGGACACTACATGTGAACATATCTGGGCTCCATGCATCAGGAACAGTAGTGTCACATACTGGTTCGCACAAGGTCACACATGGGTCCTATACTCACATACACTCCCACAACACCACCAGCCCCAGTCCTCATCGTGGGTCTGAGGCTCACTCATTTAGCCTTGCCCATCAACCCTCTGCTACAGTGACCTCCATCAGGCCACCAGGTCATACCTGAGTGCTCTGCAAGTCCCACTGTGCCTCCCTCACTGCCCTTCCTCATGCTGCCACCTCTACTCAGGTCTCTTCATCTCACTCCCCGACCTTCACCCCAGAGTCTCCCTGTTTCCAACCTCCCCGCACATGCAGCAGCTCCCCTGCACAAGAATCTTCAATGGTTCCTGCTGCCAATGCATTGGTTTTCAAACTAGGGCCTGTTTAACAAACTAGTATTCCATTAAGATTTAGTTTCTTTGTTTCTTTGTTTTGAGACAGAGTTTCACCCTTGTTGCCCAGTCTGGAAAGCAGTGGTGCGATCTCGGCTTACTACAACCTCCACCTCCCAGGTTCAAGTGATTCTCCTGCCTCAGCCTCCCGAATAGCCGGGATCACAGGCACCTACCACCACGCTTGGCTACTTTTTTGTATTTTTAGTACAGACAAGGTTTCACCCTGCTGGCCAGGCTGGTCTAGAACTCCTGACCTAAGGTGATCCACCTGCCTTGGCCTCCCAAAGTGCTGGGATCACAGGTGTGAGCCACTGTACCAAGCCCCAAGATTTAGTTTCTCAGGCCAGGTGAGGTGGCTCACGTGTGTAATCCCAGTACTGTGAAAGGCCAAGGTGGGTCAATCACTTGAGCCCAGAAGCTGGAGACTAGCCTGTGCAACATGGTGAAACCCTGTCTGTACTAAAAATACTACAGTTAGCTGGGCATGGTGCTGTGAGCTTGTAGTCCCAGCTACTTGGGAGGCTGAGGTCGGAGAATCACCTGAGCCTGGGAGGTTGAGGCTGCAGTGAGCCACGATCACATCACTGCACTCTAGCCTGGGTGACATAGTGAGACCCCATCTCAAAAAAAGAAAAAAGGTAAAAGATTTAGTTCTTCTGAAAGAGTTCTTATCTTAGTCCATTTGGACTGCTATAACCATAAACTAGATAGCTTATAAACAACAGAAATATTTATTTATTGAGACAGAATCTCGTTCTTTGCCCAGGCTGGAGTGCAATGGTGCAATCTTGGCTCACTGCAACCTCCAGCTCCTAGGTTCAAGCAATTCTCCTGCCTCAGCCTCCCAAGTAGCTGGGATTATGGGTGCCTGCCACCACACCTGGCTAATTTTTGTAGTTTTAGAAGAGATGGGGTTTCATTATGTTGGTCAGGATGGTCTCGAACTCCTGACCTCAGGTGATCCACCTGCCTCGACCTCCCAAAGTGCTGGGATTACAGGCGTAAGACACCGTGCCAGGCCAACAGAAATTTATTTCTCATAGTGCTGGAGGCTGGGAAGTTCAAGGTCAAGGCAGATTCCATGTCAGGTGAGGGTCTGCTGTCTGGCTCATAGACGACAGCAACTTGCTGTGTGCCTCACATTGTAGAAGGGAGAAGGGTTTCTCTCTGGCTTCTCTTATAATAAAGGCATTAATTTCATTCATGATGTTCCACCTCCATGACCTAATCACCTCCCAAAGGCTTCACCTCCTAATATCATCACCTAGGTGGGTGGGATTTCAACATATGAAATTTGGGGAACATACCCATTCACACCATAGCAGTCCCATTGCAAGAAACGACAGAGAGAGAGGAGGGTGATAGAGAAAGAGAGAGAGGCCGGGTGCAGCAGCTTATGCCTGTAATCCCGGCACTTTGGGAAGCTGAGGTGGTCAGATCTCTTGAGCCCAGGAGTTCAAGAGCAACCTGGGAAACCCCACCTCTACTGAAAAAAACTAGCCAGGTATGGTGGTGCAGGCCTGTAGTATCAGCTACTCGGGAGGCTGAGGTTGAGGCTGCAGTAAGCTGTGATAGCACCACTGCACTCCAGTCTGGGCGACAGAGCAAGACGTCTGAAAAAAAAAAAAGGAAATGAAAAAAGAGAGAGCAATCTGAGAACTACCAATTGGTAGGCTTAAGTTCTCACTCTTTTGAGGTCCCATAGTCTGGCCCATACAAACTCTACCCACTCCTGCCAACTCTGTCCTCATATCCTTGGGCTTGCCTGTCTCCAGCTTAGAACAATATCCAGTCCTCCCACCTAACGCAGTCCTTCAAAATGACAACTCCACCCGCCTGCCTTTGAGGCTTTCCTCAAGTCCCCAGGGCAGATGAGGAAGCACAGACTCCTGGGACTGCCAAATGGAGAGACCTCTGAGGTTGCTTGTACTGTGGCTGGAGAAACATACTTAGGGCGGGGTTCATCTTGTTCGCTAATCAGCTCACTCATCAAGCACTTTGTGGGTCCCAGTCCTGTCTAAGATACTGGCTGACTTTCATGTTGACACAAAGATGAATGATAAGTGATTCTCTTGCCTGAGCCCCACACAGGACGCACAAAGAAATGAATAATGGCTGCAAACTAGGGCTTGGTTCAAATCCCAGCTCAGTCGCCTTGACAGGTCATCCAACCTGTCTGAAACCAGTTTTCTTGTCCATCTGATGGGGATAATAACAGTATAGATTTGTTATGAAGATTAAGTAAGATGATGCATACAGTGTGGTTGGTACAGCATCCAGGCTTCAATTAATATTCACTGCTTGTTATTATTTCTGGCAGATTCTAGATTGTTTCTTAACAGTTCCAAAGACAAAGTTCTGTGAAGCATTGGGTGTTTGGGGTGGGAGAGGGAATCAAAGAAAATTTCCCGTATAAGGTGGTAAGTAGCTGAGCTGTACTTTTTTTTTTTTTTGAGACGGAGTTTCACTCTTGTTGCCCAGGCTGGAGTGCAGTGGTGCAATCTTGGCTCACCACAACCTCTGCCTCCTGGGCTCAAGCGATTCTCTTGCCTCAGCCTCCTGAGTAGCTGGGATGTGCTGCCATGCCCAGTCAATTTTGTATTTTTAGTAGAGATGGGGTTTCTCCATGTTGGTCAGGCTGGTCTCCAACTCCTGACCTAAGGTGACCTGCCCACCTCTGCCTCCCTGGCTGAGCAGCACTTTGAATGTGGGCAGAACATCCAAAAAAGAAAGATTATAGTGTAATTGACATGTGCTGTTTATTAGCTGTGTGATACTGGGCTAGTCAAATGACTTCTCTGAATCTGTTTCCTTTTCTATAAAAATGGTATGATCATCATTTGCAGACTGTTGGAAGGGTCAGCAGTCATGTTGCTAATGACTATAAAATGCCTGGCATGTAGTAAGTCCTTTTCTGGGCTCAGACTTTTGTCCTCCAACCTGACCTTCCTTTCCCAACCAGGCAGATCTGCAAAGAGTTTGCAGACTTGATGGCTCAGGACCGCTCACCACTGGGCAACAGCCGCCCAGCACTCATCCTGGAGCCCGGAGTGCAGAGCTGCTTGACACACTTCAGCCTCATCACACATGGCTTCGGTGGGCCTGCCATCTGTGCTGCCCTCACGGCCTTCCAAAACTACTTGCTGGAGTCACTCAAGGGGCTGGACAAGATGTTTCTAAGCAGTGTGACCAGTGGGCATGGTGAAACCAAGGCTTTGGAGAAGGATCCCAAGCATCGGAAATAACTGCTTCTCCCAACCCATCCCTATGGGGCTTCCAGGGCATGAAATGGGGACTTAGCTCCTGGGGGTGGGCCTGAAAGGACTGAAAGGTGGGATTCAAGACAGACCAGAAAGAGAACATTCATCCAGAGATCCCGGAGTTGGGGATCTGGCTTGGAGTAAGGGAGGTGGCCTCTTTGGTGGTGTCTTGGTAAGTTAAGGGCCCAGGTATTTGTCTCAAGTGTGCAATTATCTGATCTTTGATGGCTGAGAAGGGTTTGGACAGAAAATTGACATGAAAAGGTCTGGCTCATGGGGCACACAGCCCTTTCTGTTACGTTGCCTGGGTGGCCGTGGGTGCTTCTAGATGCCAAAGCCTTTGTGTTTGTCCTCCTGTGGCAGGAGGGCAATTGTTGATAAATCAGAGGTGCTACCGAGGAGATGGTGCCCCTCATTCCAGAATCTCCTACCCCCAGAAAAGGGGTGCTGGAAGGAGGCCCCAGTGGACTCTTTGTACCCTTCCTACTCTTGGAGAGAAGTGGGCAGGAGGGGCCCTCGAAGAACAAAGAAGATAAAGCACAAACTGCAGAACTCGAATCCATCCAGGCTGCTCATCACAGTCCTGTTGCTGTCTGTCCTATTTATTTATGTATGTTGTAATTAAATTTGAAAATTTAAAATGTCCAGTGCAACTTATTTATCCCAATGAGTTGGGGATTCATTTCGCTGTTTTCTGGCCATGCACTGACATGTCCAGCTGGACCGGGAGGGAGAGGGTGTTTTTGCTTGAAAAGGGCTGTGGGTGGGTTGGGAGGGAAGAAAGGTGTCAGGTGCCCTCAGGTTGTCACTGGGATCTTGTATTTGTGGTTCTTTTGCCCCTGCAGTTGATGTACCTCCCCATCTTTCATTCTCTTAATAAAACCTTTCATTGGACATGAAGCCCTCTCTGTCCTTCTTTAGCCCAGGCCTGGATTTGCCTCCTAAGAGGGCAGTGTCACTGGGGAGAGGCAGGACCTAGGAATTAGGCAGAGGGTAGGTTTGGAAGGGGCCCCTAAGGGAATGAGAGGGGACTGGGGGCTCTTCTTTGTGAGAGGAGGTACAGATGTTGGTCTATCTGGCATGTCAGTGTAGCTGTTAGTTGCTGTGTCTATGTGTGTGTGTGTCAAGTGAACACTGTATGTGTATTACAGTGACTTGGTAGGCTGGTGGGTACAGGTGTCAGTTTAGCTGTATGGATTTGTTTCTGTGCCTGTTGGTGATGAATGTGTATGTGTCACTGGAAACGCTGGTGACTGTATGTGTGTCTATCAGGCCAGTGCTCATCCAACTCATCTTCTTGAGGATTTCACTCTTCAGGCATTTTTTTTTCCCTGTACCATCAGTCTCTCCCTCTCTATAGAATCATTACTGGATCACTCCCCAGAGCACAAATGTTCTAGGATCTCTTATCTTACCAAACATAAATCCTTTCCCCATTTATTTATTTCCTTTGCAGTTGAAGTTCTTGAACGATTGCTACACCTATGCCTCCATTTCTCCACCTCCAATTTCCTCTTCAATCTGCTTTTTTTCCGACCAATCTACTGAAGTCCACTCAGCATGGTCATCACAATGTCAAATCTCAAGGCTGGTTTTTCCTGGATTTAACAGTAGCAGTCAGTGGATATGGCTGACCACTTGCTGTTTTCTGCAACGGTTTTCTCTGTGGCTCCTAACTTCTGGTTTCCTATGACCTCACTGGTTCCAATTCTGTCTTCCTAGCTGGCTACTTCTCTACTTGACTTCTAAATGCTGGCTTTCCTTGAGTTGTTCTCTTTCCATATTGACTCCTTAGGTTGGTATCATTCAATCCCATGTCTTTCAATATCTAAATACTGCCAAGTCCTGAATGTTTATCTTCAGCCCAGGCTGCTCCCTGAACTCCAGACTTGGATATACAACTGTCTGCCTGATGTCTGCTGGCTTGGCTAATAGGCATCTCAAATTCATGTCCAAAATGGAGTGCATGACTCAAGTACTCAAATCGTGACCTCTTCCAGACCGTCCCACCACAATAGATGGCACCACCTTCTACCCAACTGTTCAAGCCAGAAACTGGGGGGTCGTATTTGGTTCTTTCTCTATACTCAATCCTTCAGAAAGACCTATGGATTCTGAGTGCATTTTCTTTCTTCTCTGCCACCACCCTCGTGCTCTGGACTACTACAGTAGTCTCTCAACTGGTCTATTTTCTCTGGTACACCTTCAAACTCAGGTCCAACAATGATCTGACTGCCTGATTCTCCAGCCTCATCTTAAACTACTCTCTTCATCACTGACTGCTCTAGCCACGAGTTTCCTTTCTGTTCCTCAAACTAACATTTTGTTTTATGTCTCAGGGCCATTGCATTCACTGTAGTTTGCCTGGATTGCTGTTCCCCATGTCTTTGCAAGCGAAGGTTGTGCTAGAAACATATGGTCTAGGCATCATCTCTCAGGATAAGGGTCCAAAGATGTGACTTCTTTTCCCAAGAAGCTGCAATGCCTCAACTCACCCATGTGTCCAGTGAAAGTTCTCCGGACATAGTGGGGCCTCCTCTGGGGGCCCGTCCCTCGTGCTAAATGCATGGGGACCCTGGACATGTCCTATTCCTGGCCCTGCCACTCACTTGGTGTGCCCCCCTGAGCTTTGGGTCCCCCGGTATGTACCCCGCAGCAGGTTGTTAGGTGGTCCTCGATACCTTGAGGCAGCATCCACGTGTGGCACTGAAGAATTCTGAATCATGCGGGGAGGAAGTGCTGCCTTTTTCAAGTCCCTTTCAATCAGTCCCTCTGAATACATCAAGAAGAAAGTCTCCATTTGGGGTTGGCATGGCTTTAACACCTAATATTTGCTTCTCCTCATTTTAACAAAGAGGCTCAGTGCCTTTCCCCAATTTCCCTATCTGGGTTACTTACTCCTTTCTGCAGAAAGGAACAGAAAGGAATGTGGGGGAAGGCTGAAGTATGCTCTGCTTTAACTGATGCCTTGGGCCTGGCAAGAGACATCCTACCTCTAAAATTATCTTAGACAATGGGAGTTGAGAGGATTAAATAAGATATACAGCACTTCTATATACTGCTTGTAATATAGTAACAAATCAATAAAAGGTTATAAATATCCAGAAGAAATTAGTTTATCAAAAGTTTTTCAGGGGCTAGACAACTTTTCCTAAGGAAAGGACCATATAGTCCTCACCAAATCCTGTTTTAGAAACAAGAAAGTGGTAGATCAAAGCAAGTTTCCCAAGGTTACTAAGCGAGTGGGACTCACGCATCTGTGTGTGATCTGACCCTCCCTTCATTCCCACTGCATCACATGGCCATCTACAGAAGGGCTCACAGGCCTGACCCCAGCAAGGGGAAACAGGTCTTCCCAGCCCTTTGTGCCCCGAGGCTCTGCTAAGCCAGCATATGGTCAGGATCATTAACAGTGTAGAAGCAGTATGGTAGGGACACTGTCAAAGTGGCATTAAAAGCTTCTAATGAGGTCTCAGCACTTGATTCTTCCCATTAAGTTGTTTTTCTTTATTCCACAGCAAAATAAATCATGTCTTAGCCTCTAACTGGGTTTAGCCCTAAGGAAAAGTAGATGATGATTAAAGTATACACGGGGGCTGGGTACAGTGGCTCATGCCTGTAATCTCAGCACTTTGGGAGACAAGGCAGATGGATCATTTGAGGTAAGGAGTTCAAGACCATCCTGTCCAACATAGTGAAACCCTGTCTCTATAAAAATATAATTAAAAATTAAAAAATAAAAATAAAATATACACATATTGTTTACATGGCTTCTTTTTTTTGCAAAGCAAGTAGCTGCAAATTAAATGGAGAGTGTTTAGACTTGGTAAGCATTCCAATTTGGAGTTTAAAGAAAAGGCTTTCCTACTTTAAGGATCATAGTGTTCCAGAAAAAACATGAAAAGTGCAGTCTTTAAAAACGTTCCCTCCCATGAAGGAAGGTAAGTGACGGCAAGTTGCAGGCTTCTCCTTCCAAACACACTAACTCATAATTCACATACTAGAGTAAGCAAGCAGCAGCAGACACTTAGAGAGAACCCAAGAATGCGCCTCTTTCTCTTGCTTGGGCACTGCTGCTGCTCTGGTCAAAAGGCCGAGGGGAGAAGAAGTGAAAGGACTCTGGGCTTCAGGTAGGGCAGGTCCAGCATGGTTGCTCAGCTAGCAACACCAAGAAGCTCTTGGGCCATTTCAGTGGCCTCTTCCATCTCTCAAAGGTTCCTGCCTTCCCATCCACTCTCTGGTTAGGCTGAGCTTCTGAGCCTCCCTACCCTGAGGCAAAACAGCTGCTCTCTTCTCCAACCTATCCCCACTCCCACCCTGAGCCGGGGAAGGAATAATTTGTTTTTCTGTGTATTAATCACCTGAAAGCAGATGGGAGATAATCAGAACTCCTTTCTGAACAGCGTTTGGCCAGGAGTGTTACAGAATGGGTACATTCCCAGTGTTTTTCAAACTTCAGGAAATTGATTTAGGACAAAGCTGGCATTTTAAAAACTAAAATCCAGCAGAAGAAAGCAGAAGTTACCAGAACACACTACATCATGACTCCACACACACACCCCTCTATAAGAAAAGTTCCAAAAAGTAATGCTTACCCTTCTTATAGTAGGTATACATAAGTGCAAAGTCACGAATGAATGACTGAGGCCATGTAAATTTATTTGGAACACAGACTTTATGAGGTGTAAAAGAGAGAAAGGAAAATGGGGAGTAAGGTTAGGAGAGGATTACGGAATGCCTAGCAAGTCAAACCAAAGAATTGGGCTTTATTCTCTTAAGCCATGGAAAACCACCAGAAAGTTTTAAGGGCAGTGAGGAACGGATGGTGAAACTAATTTTTTAAAGTATGGAGAAAGACCCAAAGAAAGAAGAGATTAAAAGTAGAGTCAAGTTAAGAGGCCGTTAAATAGTCTAAGAAATGACAGGGGGTGAACCAGAATAATGGGGATGGAGATTTAAAGAGACTTAGGCCAGGTGCAGTGACTCACACCTATAATCCTGGTGCTTTGGCAGACCAAGGTGGGAGAATCACTTGAAGCCAGGAGTTCGAGACCAGCCTAGGTAACATAGCAAGACTCCATCTCTACAAAAATTTTTTACAAAATTAGCTGGGCATGGGTGGTGCACACCTGTAGTCCCAGCTAGCTGAAAGGCTGAGGTGAGAGGTTCACTTGAGCCCAGGAATTCAAGGCTGCAGTAAGCTATGATCGTGCCACTGCACTCCAGCCTGGGAGCTGGACCCTGTCTCTGAAAAACAACAAAAAATTAAAAATTTAGGATGTAGAAATGCCAGAACTTGGTGACCACATAGAGACAAGAGATAAAGAATGGCATAAAAATGATGCCCAGTTAAATGCAATGTTGTATCTTGAATTATATCCTAGAACAGAAGAAGAAAATTAATGGAAAAACTGATAAAATCTGAATAAAGCCTGGAGCTTAGTAATACTAATATACCAACCAATATTTGTTTCTCAGTTTTGACAAATATACCATGGTATATACAAGATGTTAACATTACAGAAACCGAATAAGGGGTATAAGGACACTCTGTATTATCTTTGCAGCTTTTCTTATTCCGGAATAAAATGTTTATTAAAAATAAATGATGCCTGGGTTTCTGACTTGGGTACCTGGGAAC